TTCCAGCCCCTGTCCATAGCTCCTGGAGTTTGAAAGCTTTATTCAAGAATATAAACTTATCATGGGGAATCAGGTCAGGCCCAGAACACTCTTTGTGGTTTGGATGGCTTGCCTTGGGAGACTTCCAACTAAAGACAGGCTGAACATATTTTATGGAATGCAGCAGAGCATCAAACACCTATGCTACAATTGTGAGTATGTGAATAATGTGTGGAATCAAGTGTTTGATTGGATGCTAGTTCACCAGAAGCCGGGTAATGTTCAATGGAGCCAGGAGTGGTTTGTTAAAATGACTAAAGGCAAATCGCTGAATTGTAAAAGGATAAAGGTAACGTTTGCTGAGGCATTGTACAGCATATGGACAACGCGTAATCTCATTATTTTCCAAGGCAAAACTAAATAGGAGCTCAACCTTGAAGACATTAAGGATAGAATTACTATGAGGGCAAAACTAAATAGGAGCTCAACCTTGAAGACATTAAGGATAGAATTACTATGAGGATGGAAAAATATAAGATGAAACACAAAAAGTATGGGGTGATTTTATGTAATTTTATTTGATTTCTTGTAATTCCTAGTCCTCGAGTAGTCTGAATCTTTTGATCGGCATGTACTGATAATTATTTTGGATTAATATATTTACTTATCTTTCTTCAAAAAAAATATTTATATTTCAATATCAAATAAAAATACAATTTAAATATTTTTATATAAACTAAAATAAGAATATAATTGAGAATGTAAAAAATATAAATGAAAAAAACTAAGACAATCTAATAACGATCATTCTTATATAATACCCCTCACATAATTATTTTAATTTTATTTCTATCACTGATTCTTCTTTATTACAATAATTTTTTAAAATAAATTTTTTTTGTAATTTTTACTCTCCAAAAATGTCCTAAACACTCTCACCCACTATGATGTTACTACTACTTTTTTTTAAAATTTAAATAAAATATCAAAAGAGAAAAATTAAAAAAAAAAAACATAAAAAATTACCTTTAAATTATCTTTAATTAATCTAATAATCTCCCACTTAGATGACAATAATCAATTATTAAAAAATTTAACATTAGATTACTAATTATGATCAAAACACTAATCAATCAAAAGAAAATTAAGTTTCCACGCTGTAGAAATTGTATTCGATAGAGAAAACAAATCATACATGTCAAAGACTCATAATTTATATAAATAATGATGAATTTAGAGTAACATATTTAAGTTAATATAAATATGTTATTAAAGAATGGCCCAAACGTATGAAAATGCTATTAATAAACTCCCACTAACTCAACATTTCATAAGACTTACTCATGTGTATAAGTCTATGGTTAGTGATTTACTAATGAGTTTTCAAATTAAAGGTCATAGAATATCCATATAGGTCTAAGAATAGTAATTACATATAGGCATTACCTTATTACGATAGTAATTACATTTAATCATAAGTGCCTTCATAACACAATATCATACTCGATAGGAGTATTGATATTTACTTGTACTTTCATATTATGATCAGACAAAAGTGGATTACTGAAGATAAAATAACACAATACTATTGCATGCTAAAGAATTATTGTGTTTTTTCAATATCAACCTAAATATCAAACTATGATGTTTTTTGAGATTAAGAGAATAATATATATTTCAGTATAATAGAATAAGACTTCTTAGAGTTATTGTATATTTTAAAGTCTTCTTAGAATGTCATATTTATAATGCGCGCAAGAATATATGACAATATGAGAATAATAATCTAAATTTTTCAGATTATATAATTGTGTACACATGCACTCCCACTGATCTAACATGTATAAAGATTTATTAGAGCTCACTAGTATTATATACTCTGATTATACAATGAGATATTAATTATAATTTTATTACAAAACAATATAGAGAAGTGGTTGTATAATATATCATCAATAGAGTTTTATAAACTCAACCACATATTTCGTACATAATTAAAATATATCATTATTGATATAATTTCACGTGAAACAGTATGATGATCATATAAAAGGTTTATCATCATCTGAATGAGATCAAATCCATATAATTTTAAATAGAATATAAGATTATATACAACATCTTAACAACTCATTCAAATCTCAAATGCTACAAATATAACACACATTTGAGAAACATATTATGTTATACGCAGCAGAAAATATGAGACTCTAATTTTAACTATTATTGAGGGCTACAACACAAATAATTATAAACTTTCATCAATAATATAAGACTATAATATCCTCAATATAAGTCTCTATAAAATAATATTATATTAAATAAATAATATTTTATTCTCGTTTCTATACCATTGACATGCTAAATTCTCCCACTTGATAGAGAGAAAATAGTTGAATTATGAATCTAAGAGTTATAACATATTTAAACAAATTCAATTATTTTCTCTATCACACATTAATCATGTCAAGTAATGTCACACTGATAGGATATGTCAATTAGTTACGTAACACTTAGATAATTGAAATCCATTTTAATAAAAAATTTAAAATAAATGAATGGATTTCATAAACTATTACATGTCTTCAAAATAATTTCTTATTTATCAAATAATAGTTTCAACAATATTAAATAATAAATATAACAATGCACAAATATCATGTCACAAAAATTTTAATACCGATAAGGTATTCGAACTATAATTTACATAATCATAAACCACAAGTACATTGAACAAAAAATTATATTAATAATAACATACAGATAGGGTATAACTATTATAAATGTAATTTTTATTATAATTAAAATAAATTTAATTATTTTATAAAATAAAATTCATATAATTATACCCATAATAGGTGAGTTACAATCGTATGAATCAATAATACTTATATTTTATTCAAGATAGGAAAATTTATATAATTGAATCTACGAGAGATGGAATTACAATTATACAAATAATAATGATTATTTAATTTTCCAGAATAAAACTCTCACAATAATAAAATTTCTATTATACTTATAAAACTAGATTTTTTTTATTTTTTTTTATTTTTTTGAGTATATAACAAAAAATCAATTTATGAAAATAAATAGAGAGTTTTAATTTTAGATTTTTCGAGAAAATAACAACACTTAATTTTTATATAATTGTATAGTTTTAATTTCAAAAAAAGGAAGTGCATAATGTTGTAAGAAATTCCTCCTTATATACAATTATATATTAGTCACAAGAGAGAAGAATTAGGGTTTGATTGAACAAAAATAAGAAGAAGGTGAATATTTTCTGCAGAGTTTGTTTCTACTCACAAACTGTGAATCTTTATTCTTTTACAACTGAAAATTCAATGTGTTATAATAATATGGGTTACTCCCTTTATTTAAAGTTTTAGGTTAGCTTGCTCTCTAAGCCAAAGCCCAAAACAAAATAAAAAAAAGCCCAAAATACCTATTTTAGTCTAAGTTAGAATCCTGTGTCAAGAAACCTGCTTCGGCATTTCGACATCTAATACCACTCGACACACATTAGACTATTTTGACACACCCTTGTTTCTGTCGAGCAACATTCTGCTTCGACGTAAGGGATTACAATCTCAACAGAAGTCGTGTGGGATTATGTCAATAGTATTGTCTTGGAATCTAAAACTTAAAACTCATGCCCTTTCCACGGTCCACGATTGACACGTGGTGAACATCTTTTAATTTTACACATATAAAACCATTGCCCCCTTTGGGTACACTTCAATTTTATACATAGGAGCATTTTAATTTTTCAAGAGTTCGAATGAAACATCTGTTTTTGAATATATTAATAGGATGCTTAAAGTTAAAATTAATGATTCATTTTTCTCTATTAGAATTATGGAGGAACCCTTGATTTGGAATAATGGTCTTGGAAGTATTAATAAATGTTTGAGTTTATCAAATTGGGAAGTGGATTCAGATAGTGTTGAATCCTTTATTCCCAACTCAGTGGAGCTTGTACTCTCTTTCTAATAATGTAAGTACAAGTTTTTTAAGTCCAAATAAAACTTCATCGATAGAGGTTGAAAGAAAATAATCAAAATTGCTCAAGCCATTATGTTGAAGCAATCTCAGCATATGAAATCACTCAAGGAGACAACCCAATCCAATTTCTCCATCAATAAATCTTTTGGCCCCAAATTAGTTACAATATACATTAGTATTGGGGGTAATATATTTTTTTTTATGATGTTGAATATCATTTAAGGTTTTGGGTTTGAGACAAAGAAGGATTCTCCATTTGAAAGAGTGAAGAATGATGTGAAGAGTGGTGGAAATTTTTGTATATATTGATTATGTTAAAAGTGTTGAAGAACAAGATAAATTGCAGGGTTACTAATTTTATTGTGTAATGCATAACTTCATTATTTTGTTTGGTTTTTGTGAATTTATGTGGAGGTTTGATTGGATGCAATGCATTTTAATGAAGAAGTTTCTACAGGTTCCTGTGATAGACACATAGTTTCGTATGACTGGTCTATTTATGATAAGAAGTTTCTCATCAAAACTATGAAATTAGGATTTCTACACTAAAAGGGAAGAACACTAAAATGACAAAATAGATTAAAAGAAAATAAAGAATTTTTTATTTGATTCTTGATAAGTTTTTCTATCTCTCAATGAGTACATAAATAGTAGTAGTAGGGGATAGTAACATAAAGACCTGATGGCTAAAAAGCCCATCTAAACAATATGAGATAAAGGCCCAACTAAGATACATTAAATAATTAAGATGTTTAGGAACTACTTTTCACTTCCTATCATTACTCGCCCCTTCAAAATCAACCTTGTCCTCAAGATTGTAAAAATAATGTCACAATTTTTTGTCATCTTCCTGTATCCCACCTCTTAAACTGAGATAATTGAATCTTTACAACTTGAGCCAAATTTACCCAAGTGTCAGGCATCTGGACAAAAACACTACCGCTGGAAGCTTCTTGAAGCTGTGGGAAGATATCTTTTGAAACATAAAAATGGCCTTTTTTGCACAAAAAAAATTATACTATCATTGGCATCACTATCTTTCCAGCTCGACCGAGAAGGTCAACCATGGCACCATAGTGATCCATCGAAGGCTCAAATCCGTAATGCTCTTTCATGGTTTTGAAATAGTAGAGACCCTCTTTAAGATATTTGGATAACTGATCTTCACTCATCTTGTAAAAGCCTAATTTCTTAGTACAAATTGACTCTGCATCCCCTGCAGCAGAGAGAACCAGCTTTTCTACATTTAGAGAAGACAACAACCTCTCTATGCAAGAGAGCAACACTTGAAAATAACCTTTTTCTTGATACTCTCTACTTGTAGCTACCAGGGGAAGCTCATCAATATTGCAGCCAAAAATCTTAAGAAGCCTGACAGATACTACAATAGAATTCAAAATAAAAACAATGCAATACATTCCCCCAAATTCTTGGCCAGAAACATTTCTCCCATAGACCATAACAGGAAACAGGTCATGGCCAGATATTGCAACAATGGGATCAAAACACTTTCGAAAATTTGCAGCAGCTCGTGAAAACAACGGTAAATGCTCTAGATAACAACTTTTTCCACTTAGAATTCTCCACTGAATATCATTCATGAATCCATTCGTACACAACCCCATCTCCTTGTGCTTCCTGGTTATTAGTTCAGACAAGGGAGTGGGTATAGTATCTGCTCCAGCAGAAACTGAAGTCTGTAGAGCCACATATATTCGACTGCAGTCGTCAGAACAAAACCACTTTTCTTTAGGAAGCTCTCCAACTCACATAGCCCAATGTCCCACAAGCAACCAACACGATACTCCTTCTCACACTGATCACAAATTATTGCTATTCCGTCGTCAAATTTATCAACACTGAAATCATTTTCCCTGCAAATAACACATCCACCCATATCATATTCTGGTTCTTTATCAACTCGTGTCAACCGTATCATGATGGGTATCACACCTATTTCATCATCAATATTATCTTTACAATTTAGAAATTGCCAACCACTTGTGGGTACAGTGTGTAAACCCAAGCAGGCTGCATGAAAGGCCCTAGGACATCCATTGCAAAGAATCAAATCTCCCCTATCTCCATATATTGCACCAACAATATACTGTTTTTGAATTGGAAGAAACCATATATTTGAAACAGATAAATCTTCAGCTTCCAAATTCAATGGTACAAGGGATAATAATGTTCCAGGTCCCATTACAACAAGAGATTATCCGATGCATGCATGAAGTTGTTTCTTAAAGGGAAAATATTCATCAGACAGCTTCTGCATATCTTCCAAGTTTTTGAGAATACCTCTCATGAAGTAGAGGTACTTCCTAATTTGTGAAACATAGCTAAAACAACATCAAATACTATATCCCAGGCGGAAACATAGTGATAATCAAGTAAGCTCTCAACAATATTAACAATTATAGTAAACTCATCTTGTGGCCTCGGAATCGTCGGTATATGAAATAGCACCTTCGCCTTAGGAGGTCTTGCACGTTCACCCTTGACAATCCATCGGGCCATAAACTCCAAGCCATAATAGGCTAACTTGCTATTATCCTCTTGAATTGCGTCTTCAGCTATAAAAATACATAAGTTCCAGGAGGGGCAAAGGGCTTTTTGATCTATTGCCCTGCTCTTTTCAATTATTGCCACCAATGTATCAAGTCTTCCCTGTTTGACACAACTCCTCACACGGTTCATAAATAAATTGATTGACAACATGTTACCATGTTTCAGAGTTAAATCTATGTATTTGAATGCAGCATCAATTCGATCAGTTGAAAAGAGCATTCTAATGACCAAGTCATATGATTCATCATCAGGGAGAGCTTCATCTCCTGACTGCAACATCCTTTCGAAAAGTTTTTCAGCATCAAGCATTTCACCAACCTGATGCATAGCCTTAAGAACCAAATTAAATGACGTGGTATTCGAAGAAATATCAAAATGCTCCATCTGAGCTAACAAATCAAGCAAATCATCAGCAGAAGCTCCCATCATAAGATTCTCCCTAAGATAATGATTAAACAGATTCACATCAGGCTTATTAGGTTTCCCATTTTTATCCAATGACCTAACCCAAGCCTCGAACAAATCTTTCACATCAGGCCACTATTGTCGAAGATGTTGAGAAGCGTGTGGGAATCGTAGGTTTCAGAGAGTGAAGCACGCGTGACAAGACCAAACGGAGCTACCGCGTTTGAGTTTGAGGATGGGGGTTTTAGGAGAGGGTTTCGCCAATTCTCGTTGTAGAGTGGGCTTCCTAAGCGGGATTTGGAGGAAGAGATGAAGGTGTTGGTGTGGGTGTTGGTTTTGTGAGTTCAGGTTCTTGATTGAGAAATGGGAAAGTTGAAATGGTTTTGATTGTGATGTTGGTTGATTTGGATTTTGTGAGAAGAGAATGAGTTCGATTTAGGATCTCCATTTGTGTCGCCATTGATGAACTCGAGAGAGTGAAGTATGTTAGTGTGAATTTTGTTTTTCATGTTTTCTTAAAATAGGAATAAGACACTTGTAAATACTTCTCAAAATATCTTCTATTGTTAGAGTGGGTTTGATATTTGTATAGTAGTGGAGAAGTTGGTGTATACCCATTAAAACATAAATTTTGTGAAGCACTAGTAAGGGTTGTGCTTGTGGGGTAAAATGCAGGAATGCTCCATGTATATGAATAACGAGTATGTGGTGAATACCCATGATTTAAATAAAAAATTTGTGGTGATGATGATGTAACATGAGTGTTGAAATAATAAGGTGTAAAAATTTTCTATGGAAAAGATGAAAATGAAGGTGTGGTAGGAGTTGAAAAAGAGGGGTTTGTAGGATAGGTAGGAGGAATACTCCATGAATGATATGAATGATATGAATGTGTATGAAAAGGATAATCTATAGGAGGATTTAAATACATGGATGGAAGCACCAATTGATAAGAAGTTTCCTATCAAAACTATGAAATTAGGATTTCTATACTAAAAGGGAAGAACGCAAAAATGATAATAGATTTAAAGGAAATAAAGACTTTTTCATTTAATTCTTGATAAGTTTTTCCATCTTTCAATGAGTACATAAATAGGTAGTAGAGAATAGTGATGTAAAAACCTAATGACTAAAAAGCTCATCTAAACAGTATGAAATAAAAGCCCAACTAAGATACATTAAATAATTAAGATGTTTAGAAACTAATTTTCACTTCCTATCAATTTATGTCACCCATGTTATGTCTGATTTCTTTTTCGAAAAGATCTTTGAGGAAACAAATACTTTAATTATTAGTTTGCAAAATAATATATGTTCTCAGAACTATATTTATGGTATCACAAATTTTTGTAGTTAAGTTTTAGATCATAATTTTTTTTGCTAGCACAAGTATTGTCAAATAGCCACCATGACGGATATACCAGTGATTTTTAGACTTGTTGTAATGATAAATATTGGGTCGTATGGTGGGATTTTGACTCTCCGTCATAGGCTGTCATCGACCATTAACAACATTGATAATATTTAAATAATCAACTTTGATTTCTTGCATGTCTGCTCTCTCGTATGGTACTAATTTGTTCTAATAAATTATTTGAATAAATATTTGTGGTCATGAATAACTATTAAGCTTAGTTTGGGTGCTCAATAATTAGTTGAAGAATATAACTATAATTGCCTCTTCAGAGATTATTAGATTCCAATTTTTCTTGAATTTATTTGAATAATTTTTTATTATAATCTAGATTTAATGCATGTTTTAGTCATTAATTTAATTTAATGTTTTACTTTAATTCATTATCTAAAAATTATTGTATATTAGTCTCCTAAAAATTGTCATGTTTGTCTAATAGGTACTTTCGTTAAATTTTGTGAAAAAACATTAACTTTTACCTAAGTGACAATCTAGTTAGATTCATTTTATCTACGTGTCTTTTTTTTTTTTTGAAATGTAACTTTATTCTTAAATCATCATTTAATCATCTTCAATGTGATTATTTTGAGAGAGTAAAACATGCACATTCCTCTCTTTCTCTCCTCCCTTCCCCAAAACCCTAACCTTCATGGCTTCAAAACCATTCTTGTCATTCAGATCTGAAATTCCAAAGTCGCATCCATGGCTTCAAAACACATCTTGAAGGAACATTTTGTCGTTCTCCTCTGAATCCATCGAATTTGTTGACTTTTTTTTATTTTGGTATATACTTGTGTTGTGTGTAGATTTCTATATGGATGATTGTCTTGAAGGTTATACTCTTTCGTTCAATTAGAAGATCTATTTCTTCACTTGCAAATTTTTTTCATGGCTTCTGTTGATGGTAACTCAGGATGCCGAGGAAGAAAATAAAGCTAATCATGTATGCGTGGAATCAAGAGATATGAAATCCAAAGTTCTCTTATTTATTGATGGTGAAATAAAAATGGGAACATTAGTTGCAGCACAATATTAAAAGGGAGATGTCTCTAATGAAGATCTAGATTGTGTCGGTAATAGTGGTTTGATCATGTTAGTGAGAAATTATGTTGATTCTAGTTAGGGATGCTCATGGTCGAATTATTCACATAATCAATCTATATTCAATCTATAACCATTTACTATAATCGGATATCATAACTTAATTCATATAAGTGGTTATATTTTGTTGTACCCCAAAATTTGCCCTTGTATTTTTTCCACAAGAAATCACAGCCTCGGGCTTTTCCTGATTTTTCAGATTGGCATAAGAATGAGTCAAACAGACTTTTTCTTATCAGTCTATCCAAATTAGGGTTTTCATGGCTCTGAAACAGTTCAAGCAGACTGCTAGGGTTTTGGTTGAGTTCGGCTCAAAGTATGATCAGGTGGACGCTTCTTCGATATTTAATCAAGAATCAGGGTTTGGTGCGCGCATTCTCAGAAAGAATTAATTCTATCAGTACTTTCCAATTTACTCTGGGAGATGAGCTGAGGCATTTGATTTGAGTTTGCAGTGTTGGATTTAATCAGTGAAAAAAGGACAGGTGGACATTTGTTGTGATTGACTGTGCATTGTTAGGTTTAATTCGGAACGCCAGACGTTTATTAATTATTTCTTTTTCTAAGTCAGAATAGTTGGATTTACTTCCAATTGTTTTAATTTAAGAAACTCAAATAATTAAAATAAACAATTGAAAAGAAATAAAAGGAATTAACTGATCAAAAAAAAGGATTTTATTCATCTTTAATTGTTTTGTTACAATTTATTATTGGAACAACTGTAAATTTATTTACATCTTTGTTTACAATAATAATGTTACAAATAATTGAAATGAAATAAAAGTGCGTCCTAATTTTTTTCTAAATCTTCATCCTCCAGTTGCTACACCTCTTTTGCTCCTTTGATTTTTATCTGCAAAACAAAGAAAAAGAAAAAGTCAAAAGCAGATGAAATGAAATTTAAAGCAGACAGTTAAAATGGATTCATCATTAAAAGCAACTGGCCGGAATCAGTTTGCCCTCTCTGCAAATCACAAGATTTCTCTTGGTTCACAAAGAGGGATGAAAATAGTGCTTGCAATAAAATATGAAATGCACAAATTTACAAATTGCACAAATTCAAAGTTTGTCAAACATCCTGCATAAATCCAAATGGGCAACCAAAAAGGCAAACTGAGCAGTTACTGAATATGC